ACACATCTGTCTCAACACATCTGTCTGTCAACACATCTGTCTCAACATGCCTGTTTCTCAACACATCTGTTTCTCAACACATCTGTTTCTCAACACATCTGTCTGTCAACACATCTGTCTCAACACATCTGTCTCAACACATCTGTCTCAACACATCTGTCTCAACATGTCTGTTTCTCAACACATCTGTCTCAACATGTCTGTTTCTCAACACATCTGTTTCAACACGTCTGTCTCTCAACACATCTGTTTCAACACGTCTGTTTCTCAACACATCTGCTTGCTTGCTTAAGGGCCCAGAGTGGGGCTAATGACAGTGTAGACAGGTGTCCAGGGATCAAACCGGTGACCTTCCAATCACAGACTTGCCTCTGCGCCACCTCTCCCCCTGGATTTGTCTAACAGTTAATAAATAATAATGAAAAATAAAACAGGTGTTATATTTGAATTTTTAACATCTTCTTCCACATTTAGGAAGAAATTCAAATCTAGATTTGTCCACTGGTTCATGAGATATTTTGCTAACACACAGACAAATAGCCACACACATTCTAAAACGATAACTCCAGGTTGAATAACAACAAAATGGACAGAAAAGTGAGGGGTGAATATTTTGCATCCTGTTTGAACCCAGCTGACACGTTGAACTCACGATCACAGTAAATTATTTATAACGGATCATTTCTCTGCCAGCAGCAGCTGAGGGGAAACCATCTTCTTATCTGAGCTGTGCAGAGTTTAAACTGCTGAGATAAGACCTGAGCTGCTCAGAAACTGGACCACATCCTGAGTCTGGACCCAAACGCTGCTCCCACCCTCTGAGTGACAGGAGGCCGACACACCAGCTTCCTGTTTGGAACCATTAAAAAAATTGCCCAAGTGTGTTTTCTTTTTCTTTCAGGTTCTGTTGTTTAAAAAAAACCTGTTCTCCACTCTGTCCTGGACCTCCTTCCAGGTTTTTCCAGAAATCCATGAGATTGACGTCACAGCCAACAAGGTACAAAATAAACAGCTGACTGATGACCTCATATCTTTGATCCATGTTGAGTAATCCATGTGTGGTTCTCCAGATCCCAGAGGTGACCCCCAGTCCTGCTCCGGTCCTGCCGAGCCTCAGCGTCCTCCGGCTGGGGTCAAACCTCCTGACCGTCATCCCTGATGGATCCTTCAGAGCCTGCCCTGGTCTGACTGAACTCTACCTGGAAAACAACAACATCTCAGCTCTGAGCCTCGACAGCTTCGCTGGACTCAGCAGGCTGGAGGTGAGCATGCTAGCATGCTAGCATGTTAGCATGGATCTATCTCTGGTTCACACAGATAAACAACACAAGTAAACATCTGATAGATTCCATTTTGTAAATGTAAATAATGAGTCTTCTTCATACACCAAAGTTAGTCATGGAGTTCCTCAGGGTTCAGTGCTTGGACCAATACTCTTTACTTTATAAATGCTTCCATTAGGTAAAGTTATTAATTCATTCAACCTTTATTTCTACAGGTTAATCCCATTGAGCCTCAGGGACTCATTTACAAGAGAGACCTGATTAAACAGCATGGGATAAATTTTCATTGTTACGCTGAAGAGACAGTTATATTTGTCCATGACGTCTATTGTGACGTGGAGCTATATATAAATAAACTGAATTGAATTTAACGATACAAATAAACAACACACAGATCAAAGGAGCCTTGGGTGAACAGAATCTGTCTGGACATTAAACACCAGATGAATGTAACTAAAGTAGATCATCCCGCAGATCCTGGACCTGACAGCCAATCAGCTGTCAGTCCTTCCTGACTTCCTGCTCCGCCCACTGACAGCCATTGAAACTCTCTACCTGGAGAACAACAAGGTGAGTGAGAGCAGCTGAGGCTGAACATCCCTGCCCTGCCGGTAGCACACCCATCAAACTGGAGGTGTCTTTATTTTTCTGCTCAGATAAAGGTGATGCCTGACGATTGGTTCAGACAAAAGGAGGAGGTGCCATACCTTTACCTGTCAGCCAACCCCTGGGCCTGCTCCTGTTCCCTTTCTTACCTTCACAAATATCTAAACGAGTACGAGCTGAACGTGTACGTCCGCGACGGTCCCATCATCCAGGTGGACGTGGACAGTGTGGTGAGTGCCGCACACAGAAACCCTCTTAGATCACCGTTAACAGACACATGAAGTCTAGGGCTGCACCGACTGCAGTTTTCTGTCCGATCACCGATTTCTACAAAGTCTGAGCTGCCGATTCCGATTGTGTTTGATAAGCGACACTGTCAGGTGTTATAAGGTCACAATGCACCTTCCATTTTCCAATCTTATTTAATTGAAAAACATACCCTTGAACAATATCCTAGAAACAATGCAAACTTGTTTTAACTGGCCATGAAATATAAATAAAGTTTAGACAATTGTTGTTAAAACTACCAAAAAAAACCAGTAAAATCGGTTTCTAATAAAAGTATTGGCCGATCTCCCACAATTAATGAAATCGGGGCCGGTTGATTTATGGTGCACCCCAATGAAGTCTGTTTCCTGTTAAACACCAACGGTCAGGTGTGGGGTTTGACCAATCAGAGCAGACTGGGCCTTCCAGGGGGCGGGGCTTAAAGAGAGCGGAGCAGCCACACCCGCTGTTCTTGTTTTGATGTGATTTCCTACAAATGTTGAGTTAACTGTTTTAATTAACTCAAGATAACCGAGCGAGCTTTATCCAGTCACTTTGAGGCAACAAGCTTTGTGTTATAACAAGAAGAAATGTAAGAAAAAAGAAAGATAAGTTGTAATGAACTGGAACGTTATCTTAGGAAAACAAGATAATAATAATCAGAACCTTCACTTTGCCTTGAACAGCTGTTTTACATTTAAACAAACTGTAGAAACTAGTTTCTGAAGATATGAACCCAAATGTTTGGACTTTTTGTTCAGCGGTTCTGATGCTGCTTTGACTTGGGTTCGGTTCTCTCCAGGTCTGTGACTCTCCAGAGGAGCACAAAGGGAAACCTGTGATCGGTCTGGACCAGTCGGATCTGTGTTCCCCTTCAGCAGAACCTGATCCACCTGAGGAGCGCCACAGGACCACGTCATCTCTGCGCACGACGTCTGCAGCCGGACCCATCCCAGTTACTGCGGCCCCCACCGTACAGCTGCACACAGAGTACCACTGGGTGGTGACGTGGTCCTGGTACCAAACCTTCACCCGCCACCTTGAACTGCAGCACACATCTGGATCCCAAGTGAAAACAGAGCAGTCGTTGGTCGAGTCCTATGACTTGGTCAGGCCGTCGTTTTTTACCACTCGTACTCCAATGAGAGCCGTAGAAACAACCGAGCGTGTTCCTTCAACCGTAGCACCAACAACACCACCACCACCACCAACAACGGCAGCCACCCAGACTGGGACGACACCGGACATGATGGCGGCCATGACGCCCACCGTGAGGCAGGCTACGACGACGTGGATCCCTTCGCTGGAGTTCATGAGTTCTGCAGGATCTCCAGGTTCTGTGCGAGTGTTCTGCCTCTGGCTGTTTGCAGGATGTCTGCTGCTGTGCTCTGCCTCGGCGGCGTGTGTTCTGGTGACCCTGCTGAGGCTGCTAATCTGGTACCGGACAGTTTACCTCCCCATGAGTTGGACGTTAGCTACGAGGACTGGAGGCAGAGAGGGCGTGGCGCTGCTGATGCAAAGTAGGATGGAGGAGAAACAAGATGGAGGAGTGACGGCGCTTTATCGCTCTGTTCTGTTCATCAGCAGAGAGGAAGAGGAGGACGGAGAGGGAAACCAAAGCCCGGTTATCACTCTGACTCCCACAGGAGAGGAGGAGAGGAGCGTGTGCAGGAAGACTCTGTACCGGATGGTGACCAAAGACCAGGAGATAGGAGGATGGAGGGATGTGATGGAGGAGTGTCGGGTCTCTGCTGGGGATGGAGGGAGGAGGAGCGTCAGGAGCGATAAAGATCTGATTGGAGGAGGAGCCAAGAAGCGTTACAGTGTAATTCTGAGGGAGGAGAGGGAGGAGGCAGGGGGAGAGTGGGAGGAGCTGAATTGGGTGGTAGGAGGGTGGGAGGTGAAACGAGGACCAGGAGGAGAGCAGGAGGACCCCAGGAGCAGCTGGGGCGAGTGGCTGGTACACTATTTACCCAGCATGCCTTGGGGAGTGACCACACCTCCTGAGAATGAGGCAGCACAGTGACATTAGTGGGCGGAGCTAAATGTCACTTCCTGTCAAGCCTCTGCATTTCATCACAATAATGTAACTTCCTGTTTTTAAATAAAAAGAGTTTGTTTTAAAGAGTGAATGTTCCTGGACCTGCTGCTCAAACTGCTTCAACCGTTTTTAATCCCGTCTGTCTCCGACGTTCAGCTCGTTGATATTCAGACATTAGAAAAAGGTTCATATGTGGATATTTAGATAATATTTAGATTCTGGAGTCAAAAACGATGAAACAACCGGACTCACTCAGGACTTTTATTTTGTCACAACAGGAAACCACCGTCCACGTCCCGTGACTAATTCACAACTTTCATTATTAAAGTTATGAGTTTATTATAAAGAGGTTTTTTATTACATTAGTTTTATTTATTAAAGATGTTTATTATTATTAAATAATTTTATTATAAAGAGGTTTATTATGACAGTTTTATTTATTAAAGATGTTTATTATTAAATAACTTTATTATAAA